GGCTCGCAAGTGCTAAATGGAGGGGAAGCATCACGTCCCTGCACCTGCAGGCTGTGCTCCTGCTGGTACAGGTCCCTCTTGTCCTTCACAGAAACCAAAACTAAACGCTTGGTGCTCTTGTAATACATGTGGCTTTGCAGTAGTACAGTTAAGTGCAATCACTCTTTGTTTTCTGATATGAATTCAAGGGCCATAGTTCAGATTTTGAACAACTAAGGGTATGATAGGAAGATGGGTATAATTTTTCATTCAGGTTCCAGGGGGGGTGTTTTTTTTTTTTAGTTCTCTTTAAAATTGACTAAAGAATTATGTGAATGAAATCTCCAAAGTTAGAAGGAAAAATGAAATCTTCAGTGAATGGTTCAATTTTAACATTCAGATAAACAGCAGAAGTCAACAAGATTGCAATAAATTGTCTCCGATTTTTTTGTTTCTTTTGATTTGTTTTATTTTCCAGGGCTTCAGCAATCAACGGTGAATTTTAGTTTTCTTTCTCTTTGTTTTGGTAACTTTAATTGATCAAACTGAGTGTATAATAAAATTCTAATCCTAAGAAACTCTTTTTCCCCTGGTCTCACTGAAACATGGATGCATCAGCTTTTCTCAATTTCTGAATACTTCAGCTGAGCATTATCTTAAGACCTCAATACTTCTCCAAGTATAACAAGATCTTTGTATGAGGCACAGTACTAGACCAGATCAACCATCCTGTGTTCTTCTTGTATATGTATAGTGTTTCACTTTTTGAACAGAAGAAAACATCTGCTCTTTGCAATACAAGCTGTGTCACATCACTCATAGAAGTGGGAGGTCTCAAAAATCAGAAAATAGCAGAAAAGAGGGGCCTGGGGATTTGTTTTGTTCGTATTACAAAAGTACCCTGGATAGAAAAATATCAGTGAAAATATGGTGTTATTCCACCTTGCCAACTTCTTTTTTTTTTTGTGACGCTCCAGTTTTTGTGTTGGTATTGCTAATGTAGGCTCTGTAAGGACAAAGCCAGCTCCAGGCATTACTTGGATGTCACGGTCTTCCCTTCTTTCTCTGTAAATGCACAGTTTGATTTCAAGCTGGGATGAACGAGAGAGAGGGTTTTGATCACATACCATAACATTTTTCAGTGGACCAGTCAGACTGATGGACCACCAGTGGCTGAAATATCCACTGTGGATTTCAAAAAATGTTGAAGTTATTTTTAAGTAAATGGCAGTGTAAAAAATTAATTCAAAGATTTTTATCAACCTTCCAGCAGGCAAATTAATAATCCTCTGCACTAAAGTTCAGCATAGAAAGTATCAGGCTCAGGGGGAGTATATGGAAGCAAGATGTTTTAATAGAAATCTGCGTTTAACCTTATATAGAAGCACTTGACATCAGCTAAATCTGTGCTCTATTAAAAAAATCCATTGTTTTCATCCAAATTCTCTTCAATCCCTTTCTCTTTATTTTCTTTTTCTCTCTTTCTTTCTACGGTATAGTTCTGCTGTTGTAAAGCACACAGACAGAAACAGCACCCGTTTTCCCACCCATTGTCTGTGCATTTGTGCACTGGATCTTTCTTCTGCCATTTCTACCAAGAGCAGCAGTGAAAGCCTAGCTCAGATCGTGCGGTGGTACATGCTTTTTCAAGCTGAGCTACTGCTTGCCTATTCAAATAGCCAGAAGCCTGGCAGAGCAGAGCTGGCTTTATTTGTTGAGTCTTGTCTAGCGAAGTGAAAAGGGCTGATATTTTTTTTTTTTTCTGGCTGCATTTTTGCACATGTGGGGGTAGGGAATGAAATTATTTCTTTTGTCCTCTACTTGCAGCTCATTGAGAAGCAGGCATGCATATAAAATTACTGTATCTCAGGGCTTACCTTTAGGGACAGGAGGGAGAAAAAACACATTTGTAAGCTTGTCTGGAAACACTGAGGATGCTGAGAGCAGACACAAAAGTGGGAAGTAGCAGAATAATAAAACACAACAAATAGAGGACTAACAAAAACCTTTCAAATTCATATAATGACAGTTTAATTTTGTCCTTTGTAAGAAATACCACATTACTGGATGTATCAAGGGGGCAAAAAATTGTTGTCTCAGTGTGTCCAAGACACAAGAGCATCAAAACACAGAAGTATAGCTTTGAAAAATCACCACGAAAAATATATAACAAAGATCCATTCAGGTTTTTTCTAGATATTAAATTATACCTGCAAATAAAGAGAAGTTATCTTGAGAGGTGAACTTCAGTGATGGGGGATGAAACACAGTCCTGTTTCTCTCTAGGTTTAGTTTACACCCAAGTGGATCAATGAATACTAAACTCCATTTCAGCTTTCAGGGAGTTTTTGTGGGTTTTTTTAACTACATATTTTTACCTAACTGTTCTCCAGCCAGATGGTAAAGCTACAGTTTCCTTCAGTTCTCCAGCTCGTGTTACTGTCTGTGAACTTTGCTTTGGAGAGCATGAATGATTCATATGATTTGTAGTGGTTTTAACTACCAGTGAGTATAAGCATTGCTGTGGCTTTTTTGTCATTTGAAGCGTAGGGTTTGGGCTGGCTGGCCAGTAACCTGAATGTAGCTTTAGGGTAGCTGTTGTATTCTGGTCTTCTGCATGTTTAGGGTATTTTGGGTAGAGAATGCAGTGAGGTAGGAAAGGAGATTTTCAGAATAGGCACCAGATGCTAAAAATCAGTTTGCAAAGCTAGTTTATATGCTCTGAGTACTAAACAGATGGGATTAATTAATGGAGGTTCTGGAATATATTACATTATTGATATATATCAATATGTTCTCTAAACTAAAGGTTTGTTGAAGTTGCAAATGTTAGATATTAGGCATGAATATGATTTAGTTTACTGAATGAACTTGAAAACAAATACGAAGAGTTCACTGAGATTAAAAGAAGACTAGTTTTGGAATCCATGGATTCTAAAATACACTGCTCATTATGGTTACTCTTCCATACTACACGTGCAAACTCAGAGCTGTGAAATGAGTAATTTACAGAAATTTTAAAAATCTTTTATTTGACCCACAACCTAGCAATCTATATTAAACTCTTAGAAAAAAATCTGAAAAAGTTTTAATTTCGGTTAGAAGTGCTTTGAGGGGTCTACAGACACACAGATGCCACTGTCCAAATTTCCAGCTTGCATTTGAGCAAAGCTGTTGGTGGTATTTTATATATACATAATGTGTCTAGCTACTTTTCCTACAAAAATTACACAGGCAACGGAATTTGAAGGTTATTTCAAAACTTTCAGCAAAGTGAGGAATCCGAACCATGACCTCTGAGATAGAAGTTTGAAGTCGTCTAACTTCACTGTAGTGCCTTTCATGCAGTTTTTCCCTCCAAACTCTGTACTTAGCTGACCTAATTTAAAAAGGATTAAAAATGTTCATCCACTGTATAAACTGTTGTGAAGGGAAGAGTGGGGCTGGGGAGAAGCTATGAAAGCTGAAAATTGTGAAAGACAATGGAAGCAGAAAAGCACATTATCCTAATGGGATAATTTTCACTTGATTGGAAGGCATGGGTGCAAAAGCTGCCTGCCGGACATAGAGCCGATAGGCACAGAAATTTTTATTTTGATTAACAGTGTATACTTCTAATAACTTAATCAATGTTGAGTAGTATTTTACCCTCAGTCTGAGAGTAAAGATTAGCTGTCTTTAAGTAAGGATGGCAAAGTCTTCCTTTCAGTGTATTTGGTTTGGGGATGAGAAATGGCAAGATGTGGCCACCTCCTGTCCATGAAAATGTGCAAACTGTATAAAACATATTATGGTTCATTGCCCTGATGGTTTGAATACCGTTTCTCCATATTTTCACAATTTGTCAATTTATGTAGTGAATGTAGTATTCATTTCTTGAGATGGAGGAACAGGATAAACTCAAACAATTGAAACAGTGAAACAAAAGCTCACAGTTAGTTCTTTAGAAGTCATGCAATTTGTGTTTCCTGAATGCTTAGTTTAATGTTAATAATTTAAATAATAATGCTTAGTATTATTATTAACATACAGTATAACATTAAACTAACTATAAATTGGTCGGTTCTTAAGTGCTTGAGTTCTATGAAAAATACAAGATAGACTAAATTAGTCTCACAGAGCAAAAAGTCATTAGGAAAAAATAGGTGTTTCATTCCTTCTGTATCCTGTTTTATGATGGTAGTGTTGAGGTTCCTTGTTTACATAAGTCTTTGGTTCTTCTTTTGTTTTAACAACTTTGTATACTAAAACACATTAATATTTCTGGCTACCATATCTATTAAAACAAATTTCATATTCCAACATATCTAAATGGCGTCCAAAAGTAAGTATTATACTGTTCATAAATACCTAATAATTGGCAATAATATCCTCAACTTCAAAAAGCATCATCTGGTACTGCAAAGTATACTGTAAGAAGTGATGCTTTCAATGAATAGACATGTTAAATGGTTTCCAGAGATCTTTCACACGCAGTGTATCTTACATTCCTTTTTGGTATTCAGAGTGTCTTCTGCTTTAAATTTCAGTAGAAGTGATCTTATTCACACAGAAAGATTTGATCTACTGAGTCACATGCTTTGATTTGCAGCTTGTTAGTATCAATCAACTGAACTTCGGAGAAAGCTTTGTTCAGTTTCTAAAGTAAACAAATCTGCGCAAAGTTTTGATGAAATACTTTTGGAGAAAAGTGGGTAAAATAAGTATTTTACATTCAGTTTTAAACTGCTTACGCAGGAAAGCTGATTTCATAGCGAACAAAAAAAAGTAATATTTTTTCCTGTTTCAGTATTTCAAAAATTTTATGCAGCTTTATACTTTTTTGTGATGAGCGTTCATCACTTCAAAACGAAGTCTGTTTCTTGAATTGTTTCAGAAGTACCAAGAATATTCATATATCGGAAGCAAAATTAATTAAAAATTATTCTCTTCACTGTTGCATTGTGTATGCCTTTTTGTGAACTTAATGAAAATACTCAAGTAATCTCAAATGTATTTGTTTTATTTTTTCTTACCTTCAGAACCAACGTACATCACAATAGGTCCGCCCACCTGTGAGATTTTGGTGAACTGCACTTTGACTGAAAAAGACTGTCTCTATAGTTTCAAACTGGACCAAAATGGTTGCCGCATTTGTCAGTGCAAAACTAGTGAGTATGCAAAAATACAGTGGCTTCCACCTTTTATATCAAGCTGTTTGTGAAAATGCTAGTATGCTGTTTTTCCATTCATAATGTTGACTGTATGTTGTGTTCGTATGCACGCGCTTTATAGTTGTTCATCTTTAAAGGATAGGTTCCTGATTTCTGACGTTGCTTGTTTGCTTGCTTAAAGTGTGTTTGGAGGAAAACATAAAATGTCTGACTTCAGAGGAAAATTAACAGCTAGGTAGAAGAAGGTAATGATTTGGGACTTAATAGTCATTCAGACTTCTCAAAGTCTGATAAGACTTCCACATTTCTTTTTCCTCTGTGTGTGTAAAGAGTTTAAAAGCATCTAGGTTTGTGCACTTCAAAAACTATTATTGCTGAACAGCTTATTTTCAACTTAGCTTTTTTTCCCTCAAAACTTAGGTTTTGAGGACAAATGTTTGAAAAGTATATGCCGGGAGGGGTGTTTGTTTATGCACAAACATATCCATATATAACTTTATTTCTATAATGTATTCTTACATTTATATTATATATATGTAATACTTTAGTTAAGATTTATGCAGGCTTTAACATCATTTCTTCCCCAAGGAGAATTATTGTGCCTTGTGAGAACTTTGTGTGTATCCATGAAGCAGCAAAAATGTATTTTCTGTATGTGTTTCCTTAAGAACTCGCTGTTTACAGGTGAAATACAAAGCAAGGTCAGGTTGGGTTTTGGAATTGCCCAACAAAGGACACCTGTGGAGTACTAGTCTGAGCTGCAGGATGTATCACTCTGGCTGCCAGCCCAGCCTAGGAGTGAGTTTAAACTCTCTTTGTAATTTTATTGTAGTTCTGCAGCTTCCTTGTAGCCTCTGAGGCTTTCACAACTAAAGTATTACTCCATTCCTCTTCTTTTGATTTCAGTCCACCCGTTCTCAGCCACTTTCTAAACCAATATGACTATTTTAGGGGTCCCCAGTAGAAATAGTCAAAATAAAACTCTTAATTGGTATAAACTAAAGAGTTTTAGGATTGGATTGGTGTATTGCTTAAGGAGCAAGAAAAGGGTTTGTCCTGGCACTTTTAACTTTTTTCCTGAGGAAATGTGCATTTTTTATTTTCATAAGGTAAAGGACAGGACATCTTAATAACAAGTAAATACATGGCAAGCAATAATGTCATTACGGTAATACAGAAATAAAACCTTTGATCACAAGTTGTATTCGTGGCAAGGACGATTTTCCATAGTTTGCATCCAAGCTATCGCATACATGCCTTACTTAGTTCTTCCTAAGGACAAAATTAGAAATGTTAAGTTCTGCTTTTAACATTGTAATTTGATTTTCCTTCTTTTTTTATTGTTGTTAAATTGATGGGGGAGTTTGACACAAACAAGAAGATGGACATACTCGGCAAATTTCATCATCTATGCCTGTGCGTGCAGCCCCTCCTTCCAGTTCGGTGCACAGGAGACCCATCTCTCCAAAGGATCATTTCTTCTGTCCTAGATTACCAGATTGCACGCGTACACATACCACATCCCAGGAAGTCTCTGTTCTTGCTCGGAGTGTTTCTGATTAAATAGTGCTTAAGAACCTATTCAAGGGAATATTTCTCTTGCCAGATTTGCTTGAAATTATTTTCGTTTTGCAGTAGCAAACTGTCTGGAGCAAACTTAATAGTATCATTTGTCTGTCATCTTTTTTCAGTTAAATAACTTGAATTGTAGATTGCTTAAAAATCTCCTCAGTCATTCAGAGAGGGGAAACCTTTATTTTCTAAAGAAGTGAAGAAAAATAACAGCTTGGAAGTCTTCATCGCTTGGTGGTTATCAGTCAAAATGACAGAAATAGAATTTTTCTGTCAAGTAATGTGTCGCACTTGCAAGGCTCTGGACAAATGAGTGTGTGAGCACTGAGAAGAAAGGAGTTTTAGGTCAAATATGAAGTACTGTGCTGGTTCTCTGCATTTTGAGATCCTATGTACTTTCATGTCCAGAAAGTTTAGTTGCATCTTGGCTCTCTAGGAACGTGAGAATGTGTATTATCCTTAGCTCATGTAGACTCATGTGGACTTTTGGGAACATCACTGTCTTTATACTGCACCCACTTGTTTCTTGCTGGTCTAAGCTGCTCGACTGAGTCAGATTTGAAGTGCCTGAGTAAAGGAGGCCCACATGCCCCCCATTACCATTTGAAGTCATCATATCCTAATGCTACTAATCCCTTTCCAGTAAAGTTTCCTTTATTGCTAATTTCTCTTTAGAGATGTCTGCTGGAAATTCATTATGCTTCAATCTGTTTCAGCCAAAATAAAAGCAAAATGACAAAGTGGAAGAATATAGAGTAAAGCTGTAAATTGTTCCTCATTACTACCTTCATTTACATTCCTGCAGCCAGAAATCAGTACAACAGGTTTATTTGAAATAATTATCTAAGTACGATATCATGAAACTTGTTTCATACTTTATTGTAATTTAGTTTCCAGTTTATCCAGCTTGACTCAAGCCAAGTACAGAATGAGAAGGAAGAAAGAAGCAAATCGTATCATTTCTAGAATATGATTCTAATAGAAGTAATTTACTTTCTTTTATCCTTCTTCCTGTTTTTGCAGTGAATGCAAAAACATGCTATAACAACGTGCAGTGAAAACATACATGCTGTAAAGTAAAATAAAATTTAAAAAAAAAAAAGCAGAGGCGGACCACAGTTGTAAGAGAAGGGAGGAAAAAACTACCACTGAGTGAAGAGTGAGCGCAGATAGATATGGGGGGAGGTTTCAGTGAGTAGAGATGGAGCCACAAATGATGAAGGAGAAGGAATGATCATACTGACTGGGAGCGTATAGAAGCCAAAGCAGCACTACATGAGGATAAACGGAGAAAAGTATAATCCAGGATATAGGAAGAACCACTGCAAAATACCAAGAATAAAACTAAAACAGTAGGAAACACATGAAATGCATTACACCACCTACACCACCACCACCACCACCACCACCACCACCACCACCACCACCACCACCACCACCACCACCACCACCACCACCACCACCACCACCACCACCACCACCACCACCACCACCACCACCACCACCACCACCACCACCACCACCACCACCACCACCACCACCACCACCACCACCACCACCACCACCACCACCACCACCACCACCACCACCACCACCACCACCACCACCACCACCACCACCACCACCACCACCACCACCACCACCACCACCACCACCACCACCACCACCACCACCACCACCACCACCACCACCACCACCACCACCACCACCACCACCACCACCACCACCACCACCACCACCACCACCACCACCACCACCACCACCACCACCACCACCACCACCACCACCACCACCACCACCACCACCACCACCACCACCACCACCACCACCACCACCACCACCACCACCACCACCACCACCACCACCACCACCACCACCACCACCACCACCACCACCCCCAAAAAAAAAAGTAAGATGATATAAGATGATACAAGAAGAAGAAACAAATAGAAAAAAGTAAATAACCAAAAAATTGTTATTTGTAGGGTGCAGCAATTGCTATTGTGTTTGGAGTGTCTAGGCCTTTGCTTTCATGGAGAGAACTGGAGTGGATTAAAGTCTTTGGGAGGAGGAGTACATTAGGGGAATGAAACAAGACCAGCGATCGGCTCTTTTGTGAGGCAGGACTTCTGTTGCTCCGAAGAGGACTAACGGGTACACTGAATAATGCCTGCTGATTGCAGTAACATAGGATTTAAAATCTGATAACTGCTGCTGGACACGAAATCATTCTTCAGTGAGAGCCAGTATTTTATCTGGCTTTGTCTGTTCACTGTATTATATTCATGAAAAAGAAAAAGCTTTTAAAATCTGTCCTGCAACTTAGACTATAGCGTTTTACCCCAAATGAATTGAAAGTGAAGTACTGTTCAGGGTATAACTGCGAGCATGTATGGCTTTAGTATTTTTTAATCTTTCAAATCTTACTAAAATTGAATTAAATTAGAACATTGCTGTCAATTTTGAAAATTGTTTGCTTCATTTAGAAGGCTTACCTTTGCAGTTACAAGATGCAATTGTCATGCAATTTCATTAATTCCAGACTGCTTATGGAGAGACGCAATTGTAGGAGGCTGAGACGAGTCGTTTTCCCTGCACTTCATAGTGCACCATCATCCACTTCGTGTCGTGGTCTCTTTTGTCTGTCAAAGCAAGCCATGAAATCACTATTCACAAATTAGAAATCTTGGTATATTATGTGTTTGTACAGTTCTCTAGACATAGAACCACTCCTTTCCCCCAAACTCATTCTGTATAGATGCAGAAATATTTTTGGAAGAGTGGTGGTACCTTTTCATTAAATGAGAAGAAAATGTATTCTACCGTGGAGTTAAAAAGGAGGTACTATGATTCACTCTGTATTAGCAGACATTTGCAGCATGGACTTCAATATTCTAGAGAGTCACACCATCTCTCTTTATAGCTGATGAAGCGGAGTGGAATTCCAGCGTGGAATTTGGGTTTGGCAGTGTGGGACTTGGTTTAGTTGTGTAGATGTTCAAAGGCAGGATTGGAAGGTTTGAGAAAAGTTAGGTAGGTGCATCTACGGGCTGTCTGTAAATAGCAGCAGTTAAGACTGAGAAAGTGTATGGCGTGATGATGGGAAGAAGCCTAAGAAAAACTTGGCAGGGACTACAGTGGGAGAATACATCTCAATTCCTCTTTTCTGTGTGTTAATCATTCAGTAGTTAAGAGTTTGGGATGGGTTTTCCTAACCTTTCACTCTTCCTAGCCAAAATTTGAATATTTCATTCCTTTATTCCTGTAAATTATCCATACTCAGGGATGTGTTCTGAACACTTCAAAACTCCCTCAGTGTTTGTTTTGTCCATTTAAATAAACATATTTTATGTTTATTTTGATATCAAAGTAAGATGGGACAAATAACCACAAACACTAATCACGCAAAGTGTATGCTTCAGACA